CCCACCCTGAGGGGACGCAGAAGAAACGCCTGAGAAACCAGAGGATCCCCCTCACACCAGGTGGCCTAATGGTGGTCCGAGGCACAGAGAGGTGTGGAATATGAATGAGGCCCTGGCTCCGTTTGGTGTGGTGGAAGCCTTGGCCACCTCCTCCCCAGGAACCCTGGTGGTGCAGTGGTTAAGCGCTTGGCTGCCAACCCAGAGATGAGCAGTTTGGACCCACGAGCCCTCTTCGGGGAGAACACGTCTGTCCAGAGGACGATGGCAACCTCTCTACAGATGTGCTCGATACAAGTGACATACGGATTGTTCTAAGAGCTGTAAGAGTCCCCCAATAAAATGATGCGTTAAATAAAAAAAATAAAGCGTACAGCCTCGGAAACATGATGGGACAGTTCTGCTTCATCCGACGGGGTTACCAGGTGTTAGAATCAACTCCGTAGGATGTTTGTTTGTGGTTTTTTATGGGGTGTATGTGCAGAAATGGGTAACCTCTTCCCCTAGGGGCCAGGCTCCTATGCTGGCAGAGCCCAGGGCCAATTCTGAGAGGCTCTTGCTGGGAGAAGCAGGGCTTTAATGGCTGAGGTTACCGAGCCTGGAGCCCTCTGCTCTCGGGAGCCCAGGGAGGCTTCTCAGCAGCAGGACTCCAAACCAGCGCTGGGCGGCTAGACGCCAGGGGGCCCAAGGCTCTGCTTTCTGGAACCAGAGGGGCACACAGCGCTTCTTCAAAGGCAGACGTGTTTACGGCCCAGTGAAACAGGGTTTCTGTTTAGGTCAAAGACTGTTTCGGTCTGTGTCCAAAGCAAAGGATGAAAGCCAAGGCCTCCAGGCGGCAGGCCTAAGCCAGCCAGAGTCACTGGGGGAAAGGCTACTGGTGGCCCGCTGTGAAGCAACCTCCCCGCTCAGGCCTTTGCAACCAGGACACCGGGGAGGCCGCCCCTCTCTGGGGTGTTCTGCAATGGAAAAGTAAGCAAATAGGATTGTGGGGAACAAGCCAAGAAACCATCAGCCCCGAGGCCGTCTCCAGAAGGCTCAGCTTGCCCGTCCCCGGAGAGGGACCAGGACCCCACAGCTCTGCCACGGTGGCCCAGGCTTGGCCCAGAGGCCCGAGTCCTTGTGCCACCTCAGAAAAGGGAATGGGCACCTGCCGGTGGGCTGCAGGGCCTGCTCTCAGCACCTGCCGGTGGGCTGGGCTCTGAAAACCCGGTTGCACAATTCTCCATCCGGTTTCCCCAGGCGCTGCTTCGCTCATGCTACGGGCCCCAGGGAAGCACAGTGACCCGCCTGACCCACGACAGCAGGGCCGAGGAGCCCTCAAGGGCAGCCTGCCCCCAGAGGGCCGTCCCTCCCCTCCCTGAGAAGCATCTGTCTCACGGAACAGTGCAGCCTATGTGGACAGATGTCCCCAGAGGGGGCCCAAGCCAGGCTCGTCCCTCCCTGCTGCAGGCCTCGCTCTGTCCTCCGGGCCACATGGACCACAGCTAATGACCCTCCTGGGGCAGCACTCAGAGCTTTGAGTGGACAAAGGAGGGGGACGAGGGCTGCGTCTGGTCGCAACAGTCGTTCCTGCAGGCCCTGGGCAGAGATCCGCACCAGGCCTGTCTCCCAACACACAGGACATCCTCCTCACCTTCCAGTGTTGTCCTGCGGCGGATCTGAGAGCAACCAACTCAACCACCCGGCACTGAGCCGGCCTCCTCTGGCCCCTGTGGAGCACATGTGGGTTGAAGAGCCAACTGTGAGGCCAGCAACCCACGGCACCACCTGGGTGCAAGGAGTAAAAATTGGGAGGGCAGCCGGGCCAGCCGTCCTGGACCGTGACTACATCACACCTACTTGTCCACCCAACTGGGTTCCGTGACCCAACGCCACAGCGCTGGGCCCTGGCAGGGGCCCTTCTAGGGCCCTCTCATTTATCCCCAGAAGAGGCAAGAGGGCCACCCCGGGCCTGTGGTTCAGAGGGGTGGCCTTTCCCCTAGTTTCCTGGGTGGGAGAACACACCGGCCCCCAAGGAGACAGAGTGGACCAGGCATCCGGAGGCCTGGGCTGTTTGGGCCACAGTGGGCCACGTAACCAGTCCCTGCAATTCTTTTCACCAGGCCAGGCCACGGGCATTTCCAGGGTCCCTGAGTGGCACAAATGGTTAAGTGCTCAACCACGTTGAAGGAAGACCTGGTGGGGACTGGAGGGCCCACACAGTGCTCTGAAACTCGTCAACCCGGCCCACACGTGGGGCTGGAGCCTCTGGGAGGTGCTGGTGCTCAGCTCCCCTGGGCACCCTGGGAGGCCACAGGGACTGACCTTCACTGGGGGAGGGGTGAGGGGAGTTGCCTGACCACTGGTTCACTGTATACCACCCCTCCACTCTGGCTGGGCAGGGTGCGCTGGGGGAGGGGGACTCCACCTACCCACGCCATCTCTGCTAAGTTCCAAGAGGAGGGCACCAGCCATTCGCCCCGGCTAGTACTGACCCAGCTGTCTCGCCCCCTCCCCACCGGCCCTCGGAAAGCCCCAAATGGGGGTCGAGGGGTGGGGGGTGGGCTCTGAGGCTGTACAAAGGGGCTTGTCTGCTTCAGGTGGCTCGTCTCCCGGCAGTGACAGTGAAGGGGATGCCGAATTAACACTGGGTAATAAATTCTGCAGAAGCCAATAAAACCAAGAGGGGGAGCAGGGTGGATAGGAAGAACCACAGCAACTGATTAAACATTTTTGTTGGCAGTCACACACACAGTGCATTTTCCAGGGTCTGCATCACGGCGACATCTGGCTGCGGCCCACGCATCTGTGGGAGGGTACCCCAGTGCACGGTAGGGGCCCTTGAGACAGTCAGCTGGAGCAGGCTCTCTGGTTTGGGCGGGTGGGGCTGAGGCACCAGGAGTTGTTCTGGGCAAGGTAAGAGAGGGACAAGCGGGATGTGCTCCCTCCCCCCCACCCCCCTGCAAGAACCAGGCCTCGGGAAGAGAATGTTCCGGGCTTGGAATGTCTGCTGCCCAGTCCCACCACAGCGCACACCCAGGCGCAGGATGCTGAGGGCTGAGGCCAACCTCGCCCCCTGATATTTAGGGGGAGATGGAGACGGGGCCAGAGCTGGCTCCCAAGGAGAGGCCATGGCTCCTGCCTCCCTGCAGGCCCCGCTGTGTGCTGGGACCCGGAGCGCCGGGTGCCCGCAGGAAGTCCTTCCGCAGACTCTCTCCTACTCACTTCCATCTTCCTCTGCCTGCGGAGCCACCCTGACATGCCCCCACCCTGGGGTGCTGCATGGGGAAGCATGCACCTGTGGGAATAGGAGGAGACGAGGGATGGGGGGCCATCGTCAGGGAATGTTATTACTATTACTGTTGTTAGTGCCCATCCAGCCGAACCCTAACTCAGGGTGTGTCGCGTATAATCTCCAGTGCACCAGGCCTTCTCCTTAATACCCTGGGTGGATTCAAACCACTAACCTTTAGACTGGCAGCCAGTTGCAAATCGTGGTCTGTGCCGCTCAGCCTCCCTTGCTCAGCTGGTAAAAAGGTCAGGCCTTCACAGGAAACCCTTCTGTGCAGGGTCCTTCCGTGGGCCCCACCTCAGCCTGTGGTTGTCAGAGAACAGCTGCCCCACCTGCAGCCACCTCTGGTCAATGGCCCCTGATGTGCAGGCCACTGTGTCCCTGGGACGGTGAGTTAGTTAATTGTGCCAGCCTGGCCAATAATCACATGTGGGGCTAATTGAAAGGCAGAGGGATAAATGGGTGGTGAGCCTCGCCTTTCTAGTGCTCGGGTCTCTTGTTTTGTGATGGTTGTACCGGGTGCAGCTGCCTTAGCAGTTCCTTGCTTC